ACGGACGTCCTTGGTTCTGGACGTCCGTCCTCCAAACACGCTGTCGGGACAAAGTCGACAAAGCTCCGAGTACACGACAGGATGAACGTCTGAGGTTTCATCGAGTGGTTTCTCACCTGCGTGCGTTTCCCTGGTAACGTACAGTACAACCAGCGAGATGCACACGCCGGTCATAACGACGAAGATGACGCCGAGCGTCACTTCCAGAGCTGAAAACCCACAGCACAGCGACTTCCTGCTTCCCATCCTGTCTGTAGGAAACACACTGACATGATTTCACCTTTCAGAGCTTCATATCATCAAAAACACGATAATACAAGAAGAAGAATTTCAGAGTCGGATCTTCTCAACATGTTTGAAGAAATGAATCATGGGAAGAACAATCCGTCTGTCTGATGACTTCAGAGCCGTTGATGCTCATCAGGCTGAAGACCAGACTCCATAAATGTGCCTCAGACCTTCATCAGGTTTTTCCATTAAAGGTCAGACAGCCAGAGTCCGTCCACGAGTAGAAACCAGCAGCGAGGTTTCACAGATCAGACACATTTTGCACATTAAATCAATCAATCAATCAATTTTCCTTCTGTTTGTTTCTCTTTTTCTGCTTTTTGGGGAAATATAGAAAAGAGTTCACAAATGTTTCCAGCTACACATGGAAGGAAACTTTATATGATTTCTTTGATTTATTTGTTGCAGATGAAAATGATTATTATCTTTTAAAGCAGGTGACCGTCTCTGAGACTAGCCGAGGTTAATCCGAGTCTCCGTCAAGCTCACGTCCGACAAACGCTCGCATTCATGCGCGAGACGAGAGACGAGCATAAAGACACGACTCACCTGGAGTTGGAGCTTCTGAGAAAGTGTCTGTTCTGACAGTCTGACAGCTCAGAGCAGCTCGGCTCTTATCTCTCTGATAAACACAAGTCTGCAGGTAAAAAGCTCCAAAGGTTAGCACAAAGGTAAATCACAGATGCTGATCGGCGATTCCAGATAAAAACAACCTCGATGGTAATAAGACAATAAATTTGTTCCACCTGTTATCAGACTGATACTTTGAGTTTGATCTCTCAGCACCTCGAAAACAGCCGTTGAACTTATCTCAGCTCGAGGATCGCTCACCTGCTCGTAGGACAGACGGTCTTCTGCAGAACCCTGAGTGATCTCAGGAACACCACCAAGCCATTGGTTCAGGTATGTGGATGACACCTGGTTGAAAATCAAATCTCAGGACGTACCACAGTTCACAGATCACATTAACTCAGTGGACACATCAAATTCACCAGGGAGGATATGAAAAGTGGCAGGTTAGCCTTCTTAGACTGTGAGATTTCCATCAGTAATGGGGGACATCTAAAGGTATCTAAGGTTTGACTCTCATCATCCACTGGAGCACAAACTGGGCGTCATCAGGACGCTACAACACAGAGCGAACACCATCC